GGGAGAAAGATGAGGCGGTCTGCTCCCGTAAAGATTTATAGCCTCGGAAGCCCTATGTAGGGTCACTATGAGTCAGAACCAACTCCACGGCACATAACAACAACAACAACAACTAAGTAGACAACTGTAAATAGTTTGTGACACCAGGGACCTAGTACACTGTCTCCAAACTTCTAGCTTCATTTAAAACCTAGATATATTTCTCAGCCATACCATAAAGTTGGCCTTGCATCCTGGTAAAACAAGTAAGTATTCTCAGAGAAAAGAGGGAAGGCTCTAAGAAGAGACGTTTAAATGGAGTCAGTTAGCTGCATCTACTTGTCTTTCATACAATCTTGAGTTTCCTCCTACAGTCTGAGACTTATGATTTTTGAAAGGAGCTAGAGACCACTGAGTCTAACTTAAGACCTGTCTATAGAGTGACTTTCTAAGTATTGTGATGGCTTTTGCCAATGGGAATAAATTACATCTTAATGGGATGCTACTTTGAGGAAGAAATAAATGTAAAATACTCATATCAATTTAAAAACACATTGAAATATGAATTCCAACCATTTCCTGAGTGTGTGGATTTTACAGACCAGTGTCTAATCAAAACTCTGTTGTCCCCATTGGAGTCCTTTCCCCTATCTTCTGAATGAATGGTGGTGATGCTGGACTCCAGTGTCAGATTCCCCAATAAGCAATGTAGGCAGGAGTTTACTTGTGTTTCCTTACTAATATGTAATCCACCCCTGGATAGTGCAGAATCAATTGTGTGCTTTCTATAATGAATAATACAAGTAATACAACTTGAATTTTAAATATACACACTTGCAACTCCATGAACTTTATATTTTCATTCTAGTTTCTCTTCATATTCCATGATGTAAACTTCTTGCCAATTTGGGGAGATTTGGGGAGGAACTCAGCTTCTACTACAACTTCTTAGGTCCCATTGGAGAACATGGAGAAGCCTAACATCTTCTGGAGTTGTCTCATTATATGTACCTTATCCCAATAGTTAAGGCGCTCTGGTAGCTTACTGGTTACGAATTGGGCTGCGAACTGCAAGGTCAGCAGTTCGAAACTACCAGCTGTTCCACGGGAGAAAGATGAGGCTTTCTGCACCCATAAAGATTTACAGCCTCGGAAACCCTGTATAGGGGTCGCTATGGGTCGGAACCAACTCCACGGCACATAACAACAACATCCCAATAGTTGAAGCAGACTGTAGAAAATTGCTTGGTTATTAATTACCAAAACCCAGAAGCATATCTAAGGTACAGTAGGTATGACATGTACCCTGGGATCCACATGAAGGGGGCGCGCCACTAAGCAGTTTCTGTTTTCACCATGGCAGTTTCCATCCCCAGCTGTGAGAGGTCATTGAGTAAGTTAAAATGAAGATGTTCATGTCTAAGAGCATCCATGGATTCAGACAGACTGTTTGGCCCTGCTCTGCTGAGTGTTGAAGGAGAAAATGGGAAGAAAAACAGAAACAATAGCATATCGTAGACCCATTTTCATCGATGAAAGCAAGGAAGGTGCAGTCGTAATTTCATGTCGTGCTATCACATGTTAAGTAAAAGATCAGTGAGCTTGACTTGTATTTTTGAGCTGATATTCCTGTAAAGTTATCTAAAACATGGGTGTCACGTGTTTGCACAGGGGCACAATTTCAGTGTGTGCCATGTTGTTGTT